TGTACTGGTCAGGCCGCTTGACGGGGAGGCGCGTGGTATGGCTTGGTTTTGCCTGGAAACGAAAGCGGGGTAGGTAATTCACGCTCTGAGTACTGTGACGGCATTTTATCTCTCTGCGTGCCCAACCGAAGTCAGGCGCTTGCATGCAGAAGAAAAATGAATTCAAGGGCCGCTCCTCTCCCGTGCCGCGATGGCGGCTCGCTCGGCCCTGCTGGCGACCGCCTCGCGGCCTCTCTCGATAACCTCCGCGAGCGAGCCGAAACCGTGCGAAACCAGAACTCCGTCTGTGCCTGGCAAAATCCGGTTTCTGCCCCGACGGAAGCGGCTCGGCACCAGCGGGGCGGGCACAGGCTGGAGCAGCTGGGACGCCTGCCTCCTCAGAGCCTGAGGCGGCCGTCAGCCTGCTGGATTGGAGGCCTGCCCTGATTACAAGGGCGCGCGCCCATTGCACACGCGTCTGCACCACGGGTGACACCAGCGCACCGAGCTGCCGTTTGCCGCCCCCAAGCACTACAACCTTAGAAGTGTCAGTGCGCGCCCAGGCCCGCGAACACTCCTTGGAGCGAGCCTCAGCTCCAGAGCCCAGGCCACGAAAAGCACACATCGGCTGCCAGCAGTACATGAAGCAACTCGTGCACGCAAGCATGACCTCAGAATCCTGGCCGAGCATGTGTGCTTGCATGAGCTGGTGCCCTGTGACAGTCCAGGGGCCCTCTTTGGCCTCGGCTCCGCTGGGGTGGGACTCCGCGGTGGCCGAGGCCGAGGCCGAGGCGTGGGCAATGACAGCGGGCACAGGCGTCGGTTCCACCCCCTCTGGGCAAGGCAGTGGCACTGCAGCCGCAGGTCGCTTGCGGCCAGTCCTCCGAGCAGATCCTGCAGCGCTGGCTCCACTCACTGTCCCACCGCTCGCACCTGCACTCGCAGCTGCCGCGGCCGCCACCGCCACCACGCCAACGGCAGCCGCTGACACCTTTGGCTCGCCAGCAGCAAAGGACTCGCAGCCCACGACTTGGTCGTGCAGCGCGTAGGGCTCCAGGTCGATGTCTTCGAGCGCCTCCAGGGGCCAGGAGTCGTGCAAGCCCGACTTGGTGATGTGCACCTCCATTTCCGCAGCGTGCCTGGCGGCGTCTCTGCCTCTGAAGAATCACCCCCCCCATCATGATGACGAGGTCGTCTTCTGGCGCCTGGAGCCTGGCACCCTCCTCGGCCCGCGCGTCTGCCAACCGGTTGCCGTGCGGCTCGAGCATGGTCAATTAGCTCGCCGCGCCTGACAGCTTCCTCCGAGCGGTGGGCGGGGATGTGTTTGACGGACACCCTTGCCGGCAACCGCGCCCAACAACGCGCGTTGATCTGCCGTGTGCCCCTGGCCAAGTCCGGGGCACAGCGCGCACCCGACGGCGCCCATGCAATCCATGAGCAAGCTGTAGCTGTCGATGATCTCCTCGAGGGCCAACCCTGCCGTCTGGGAGGGCAGCAGCTCGGGGGGGACAACGCCCCAGGCCTCAGCAATGAGCTCGTGCGTCAATGGAAACACGATCACAGACCACCCAGCGCACCGCAGGTGCGGGAAGTCGGAGTGGATGCACGACCCGTCGGTGAAGACGTGGGCACCCTCGGGCGCCACGAGAGAGAGAGAGAGAGAGAGAGACGATTGGATGTCCTCCTACAGGCGGACTTTGGGGGAAAATTCACAAGTAGCCCAAAAATGTACAACCATTCTCAAAAATACTGAAACAATCGGCCCCGGCCTATTTTTAACTATGTTTGAATACTCCTCCTGTAGAGGGGCATGCCCGACTTAAATCTATGCCCCACTATCGTTGGTTCTGAGCCATCCCCAGCCAGGGTCATCCGTGGCCGCAGCATAGGGTGTATACATCTCCTGGTCGGAGGCCAGGAAGATTCATACACCCAGCCAGGGCCCAGTATGGCCCTGGACACGGGTAGCGATATCGTACAGCTAGCTGCCCACTGCTGGGAAGAAGAGTAGGCACGCGATGGCGTGTTCTTTCGAGGTCGACCCAGCTCTCGAAATGACCGGGAGAAATCGTTGGGAGCACGGGGAGAGCCGCCAGCTCGAGCGGAGGCAGGGGGGAAGACATTGGAGAGGGAGCTGCAACAGCACCGCCACCACCACCACGACCAGAGACAGAAAACCGCTGCCACACAATCATGCGGAAGACTCTCGCCCGTCCCTCCACGAGCACCCGCCCCCTCCCCGCTGGTCCGCGGGGCAACGTCAGGGTAGGCTCGGCTCCGAGGGGGAACGCCCGAGCTGGAGTCGGCGATACACCGCCGACAGATCGGCGAGAGGCCCCCGGTGGCGAAGCCGGACGTTTCCGGGCAGGAGTGGGCTGTCAGGTCCCCGTCGGCGCTGCTATAGGGCGCTTGGGGGGTCGACGCGTGCCACCCTCTGCCTATACCCCCCGGTGGTCTTCGGGGCTCGGGCCGCGGGCGGCCGCTTGGGACCACTCGGGCACACCCCGCACGCCCTCGGCGAGGCGCAGCCGCTGGGCGGCATCCCGAGGGTGAGGCTGGACAGCCGCCGAGACCCGACACAGCGGCCAAAACCCTCGAACCTCGAACGCCCTGAGCCTACAGTCGGGGAGTTGACCCAAGGCGTGATAAAGAAGGAACGAGGCCCCTTTTTCCCATAAGTTAAACTCCGATGTTCCATGGCAAGCCTCAGGAAAACCCAAGGAGCACTGTGAAGCAACTCAGGAACACGGAGCCCCTCCCCAACAAAAAGGGTTCCTTCTTCAGGGCCCCGACTGTTGCTCGGTTTCCCCCGGGGTCGTAGGCGACCCGAGGAGGAGGAGGAGGAGGAGGAAGAGGAGGAGGAGGAAGAGGAGGAGGAGGAGGAGGAGGAGGAGGAGGAAGAGGAGGAGGAGGAGGAGGAGGAGGAGGAGGAGGGGAGGAGGACGGGTCGCCTAAGCCCTTCGGAGAGACCCTCCACCGACCGTATCCCCCGCCCGACGACCGTGCCCCACGACCGCTGCCACCCTGCGCCTGTGGCCGCCCCCTGCCGCTGCCCCGCGGAACGCTCTCGGCGGGGCGCGCGGCCGCCGGGCGGCACCCCGGCGCTGCACCGCCGCCGAGGGCCCGCGCCAGGCCGGCCCCTGCTGCTCCCCTGCCCGCTGCTCGCGGGCTCTGGTGGGCCCCGGAAACGGCAGGGCCGTTTTTTCACCGTCTCCAGAAAAATGTCCCTTGACAATGGAAACGGCAAAAACACGGCGACCGGAAACGGCAACAAAAACGGCTCCAAGATCGGAACTGGAGCCGACACCGGCCAAAAAACGGCAAAACGGAACCGGTCAAACAACGGCGTCGGAACCGGCAGCAAAAACGGCAAAACGGAACCGGTAAAAAAACGACCCCATAGATCCGATGTCGTGATTTTTTCGAGACGGGGTCCCCGGAAGTCTCGACCCATTCCCCAGGGACCGGTTTTTCATCCCGAGTCGTTTTTTGACGGTCCCGAGGCCCGGCGAGGGTCCCTGGGGGCCGAAATTTGCGCAAAACCTCCGCCTTGATTTTTTCGTTGCGTCGGATCTCTGGGACCCTGTCGTTTCCAGGGCGCTGCGAGGCACGCGCGGCTCGTGCCGCCGCGCGCTGCGAGGCACGCGCGGCTCGTGCCGCCGCCCCACGGGCCCGGGCCCGCGCGCGGCTCGAGGCTCCCCCGTGCCGCGGCAGCTCCGGGCCCCGGCGCGCGCCGCCTCGCACGACGTGCCGCCGCTCCGCCGAGAGATCCGCGCCCGCTTCTGGCCACCTGCCAGACCACCCCAGCCCAACCCGAAGACCCGAATTTCGGGTTGGGGGGGTACTCCAGATTTCGTAGTAAAGGGAGGGGGGTCTCATTTCGGGGGGGGGGGTCTCTTCCAGGCTATCTTGGAGGGCCTGGGGGGGTCTGGGGACGATGTTTTGGAGGGTTCTCCCACGGGGGAGGTCTGAAATGGCTTGTCTTGGAGGGTCCAGACCCCCCCCCCCAGAGATCCAACGCAATGAAAAAATCAAGGCGGAGGTTTTTCGCAAATTTCGGCCCCCAGGGACCCTCGCCGGGCCTCGGGACCGTCAAAAAGCGACTCAGGATGAGAAACCGGTCCCTGGGGAATGGGTCGAGACTTCCGGGGACCCCGTCTCGAAAAAATCACGACATCGGATCTCAGGGTCTGACTACCTACCAGACCACCCCAACCCAACCCGAAGACCCGAATTTCGGGTTGGGGGGGGGGTAAGGGTTCCACGTGTTTTTTTTTCTATGTTTCCCGCCCCCCCCCCCCCCCACACTGGAAATCGAGGGCAACTCTGAGCCTTCGGGTTGGGTTGGGGTGGTTTGGTGGGTGGTGAGCTTCTGCTCTTCCCCCGCCGCCCTCCCCGACCGTCTCGCGCGAGCGATCCTGGGATGCCTCGCCGCCTCCTCCTCGCCGACCTGCCTGGCAACTCGGGAGCGGCCAAGAGGGGGGTGTCCAAGAAGGGGGGGTGCAAATCATGGCTGGCGGCATGTGCGCGGCCCAGCGGGGGGGGCCAGGGACGCAATGAAACAAGACGAGGCGCCAGGAAATCTGAGGAAATATCATGGCTAATGAAACAAGAAGAGGCGCCATGAAATCTGGGGAAATATCATGGCCCCCGCCATGATATCCCCCCCCCCTGGTCATAACCCCTCCTCTTTCCCGCCCCCGAGCAACGTGTCCCCATTCACTGCCTCCGCGCGCTGCCTTCCGCTGCCCCCATCACCGGAGATCCGACCTCGCGGATAACTCGTTCCACGGCGTGGGCCATCACGACTGAGACCCTTTTCTCCTCCTCCTCCAGCTCCTCCTCCTCCTCCTCCTCCTCCTCCTTTTCCTCCTCCTCCTCCTCCTCCTCCTCCTCCTCCTCTGGCGGGCCCGCCGGAACAGGGCAAGGTCGCCCGTGGCGAACACAGTGCGACGCCACGCTCTCAAGGCCACTCCGCCTCGACCGCCGCCACGGCCACCCCGCCCGCGCCCGCGTGCCGCCAGCGCCCCGCTGCCGCCATCCTGCAGGGTCTGCGCGGCGGAGTCGTTCACGGACAGCGAGACGGTCCTGCGCCCGGAGAGGCGGAAGATGCGGTGCGCTCGCGTGTGCATCCGCCGCCTGGAGAACCGACGTCCCGGGATCTCAGCGAGCGCTGCCTATGGGATAGATCTGGGCCCGAATAGGTTTAATTGGAGCATGTCCCCCTACAGGGGGGTTTTTTCGACGAAAAATAACAAATACCCCCAACATACTCCCAAATGGTCAAACATAGTGAAACAAAATCGTCCCCATACTATTTTTGACTATTTTTGAAAATTCCCCGAGTGGAGGGACAGGCCCGACTTAAGAATAGGTCCGTGTCCACCTCCTGCCGAGGTCCCCAGAGCTCGATCTCTCGGGCGGCGGTCGTGGAGAATTCTGCGCCTCGGAGTATCATCTAGACCCCACCCAGATGGGGACCGAACAAGTGCGCATCGCCGATGCATCGACGTCGGCGATACATCGGCGCCGTCCGCGTGGAGAAGATCGGGCTCCACATCGAGCCGCACAGGCGATGCATCGGCGATGCGGCGCGATCCTCCGAACCCACACAATCGCACCACATCTGGGAGGGCTGGAGTATCTGTGCCCTCTCTGTCACTTCCGGCGCGTCCAAGGTGGGGGCGTGCAAGAGGAGGGTGGGTGGGGGCAAATCCTGGCCCGAGGCATGTGCGCGGACGAAGGGGGGGGACCCGGGGACGCACTGAAGGAAGAAAAGGCGCCATGACATCCAGGGAGATGTCGGGCCCCGGCCATGACATCCACCAGCCCACCTGTCATCGGCTCCTCGTGGCCGCCCCAGCCTTCGCCCCGGCTTACTGGTCGATCCCTGGCGAGTTTCATTTCAAGCTGGGGGTAGCAATTACGAGAATGGTATGTCACCCTGGGCGTGGTTTCCTTCACTTTACTTGGTCAATATTTTCTTGCTGCAGCCTGTAAGCGCCACGTGCAGGCTGTTTGCAAGCCCCCGAAGTGGGGAAAGCCACGGCGGTTGGAAACCCACGGGGGGGGGGGGGGGGGGGGAAACCCTCCTCCCGGCCGCGCCATGGCCGGAGCTCGCCCCGCGCCACTGCTGCCGCTGGTGGGCACGCTCCTCGCGGGTGTGCGAGATGGAGGAGGAGGAGGAGGGGGGGGAGAAGGAGGATAATAAGGAGGAAGGAGGAGCCCAGCGTAGAGAGGGCTGGGTTCGTCAGCAACTCAGGCCCTACGGGCGGGGGGCGGCGGCGAGCCGCCGATCGAAAGGACCTCGGCGGGGGGCGACGACGCGTCAGCGTCGAGACAGACAGGCGACATGGTGGCCAGCATGGTTGAGGAGCGAGGGGAGACGGCAGAGGGCAGCAGCAAGGAGGGCTCAAGGGGCGAGGAGCAGGGGAAGACAACGGCGGCGGCATCGGCGGCCGCGTCGCAACAGCGGGCTGGTGCCTGCCCGAGCACATTCACGAAGCGGGTAGCCGTATTATATCTCGTTTCAGTCGGCATGAGCTGGGAGGCAGGAAAACGATGGATTATGCCAGGCGGAGCGGGCGAGGTGGCATGCGGGGCGAAGGGCGCGGGGGGGGGGGGGAGCGAAAGCGAGGGGCCTTTTCCCGCAGAGGCCTCGCGGTGAGATGGGCACATCGGCAAGGAAGCCGACGGAGCGAGTGGAGCCCTCTGGGAGCACGTCGCCGCCGAGATCGGACATCCAGGGGCGGAACGCGGGGGCGGAGTCGCCATTCGAGAAGCACCCCCAGCCACTGGCGTCGGCGGAGTAGCAGTCAGGGTCCACGGGGCACTTGGGGGGGGGCCCAGACAAGGACACTGAAGCACAGGATAGCCGCGGAGTAGCAGCACTAATCGGGTTCGTCGCTAGAATACATCCCAGACGAGAGCGCCTCGCCACCAGGGACGCCACGGCGCCAGAGACCCGCTCCTCGCAACTTACTCGAGCCTGCGGCAATGGGCTCGAGGAGCACCCATGCCCAGGACTTCGCGTTCTGACATCCGATCGGCAAGGAAACAGATGGCGATGGCCGCCGCACGGCAGGGGATACCACTCCTTGCAATCTACTCGATGAGCCTGGCACGGCGGGCTCGAGGAGCACCCGCCACCAGGACTTAAGCGTTCTGACTCCGTGCGTCGCAGCACTAGTCGGTGACAGGGACAGGTTCTCGCAAATTACGTTAGATGCCTGGGCAGATGGGCTCGAGGAGGACCCACTGCCCGGACTTGGCGTTCTGACATCACAAGTCGACGGACCACTCGCATCTGAAGAGCACGGAGTACTATGCTCACGAGGCGCTGCACCAGCAATGTCAAGAAGGTCCTCGAGACGGCCGACACGCTCAGGCGTCGCGATCAGCGTGGCGGGCGTTGGCGGGGCCGAGGGGCGGATGTCCATCATGACCAAGCCATCCGAGTCCTCCTCCCCCGAACGAGTCCACGCGCGGGGCGAGGGGGTAGTAGGCGAGACCACTGGCGTGAGTCGAGGACTTTCTGGGTGACCTGGGCGTTGCGCAGCGCATATCCGAGAGCGGGGTGGCGACGGGGGGCTGGTGTCGGGATCCACGGTCGTCGTAGCCAGGAGAGCACTCCAGGACGCCGACGCCACAGTAGCCGATTCTGTAGACGAACTGGAGGAGCTCGATGATCGCGCCACTCGGGGGGGCCATTGGGGCGCGAGCGTGGCACGCTCCGCCTCTGAGATGCGGGTCGGGTGCGCAAGACGCATCGCGCGCGCGCTCCAGCCAGGGCGCAAGCGTGAGTCTGCTGCGTGGACAGCGGCCAGTCAGGGATGGCACGGGCCGCGTCGCACATGTTGCAGGCGGCCGCGAGCGCAGAGAATGAGGCGAACGAGGGAGCCGCCAAGCCCCAGCGCGAGACCCAGTCAAGAGGTATAGGGCGGGCCGAAGCACGTCTGAGCGCACGGTGCATGATCGGACAGCGTGCGCAGTGTCGGAGAGAGTCGATACGGTGCACGCAACCGAACGCACATTGCCGCTGGCCATGTGGAGAGATGATCCGCGCCGTCGTCATCCACCCATCGCACCAGGTGCGCAGCGCCGCCCACGCCCACGAACACGGGCAGCGAGTCAGGATAAGTCAATCGAGTCGAGACGGCCCCTCGAGCGGCCTGCGAACTTCATTGGACGACGTCGCACCAGAACATGCAGTGGGCGAGCCGCACACGACTGCACTCGCAGCGCAAGATGGGCAGCACGCTGGGGGCGAGGACGTTGGCCAGGGGCGGGAGACAGGGCAGCGCGGGCAGCAGGAAGAGCGGCGGCCAGCAATGCACCCAGACCAGATCCCGCAGGGGCCCGCCCAAGGGCGGCCGCCGCCAGGTTCTCGGCCAGCGCGGGGGACTGCCAGAAGCCAGGGTGCAGACGGCACTGCGGGAGCATGTCGAGCGTCACGTCGGTCCCCCTCATGACAATATGCTCGCGCATGCGGGACAGGATGGGCTCCCAGCAGGGATGCGTGAGCAATGCGGCTCGGGTGATAGATGCCGCGGCCAAGTACGCCCACCGAATGATCCCCGGGGCCCCCCAACGCTCCAGCTGCGCCCAGACGTCGAGGCCGAAGGTGCCGAGGGGAAAACGAAATACTTGTGCTAGAACCGCGAGCTCAGGCTGAAGGATCGTAAGCGGAATCCAAGAGAACTGTGCAACGGAAGACAGAGTAATGACGGCCCGTGTGTTGTACAACCAGGCTGACTGGCTGGCTGGGGCGGTTCCTCGGCCAATAGCTTGAGCCCGTAAACGCAATTTTGTGGGCGGCTCGGTCCAGCGACGCTCTGCGTCGGCCCCAGGTCCCAGCCAGATGCCCAAGTAGAAAAGGCACGCAACCACTTCGAAGGATGATCAGTCGGGGACCCAGTGGGAGATCTCATGGAGGACTCGGGCAGCGAGCTCAGGAGTATATGGCCCGCAAAGAGGGGCAAGTTTGCACCTGCTCACCTTTAGAGCGAGGTTGACCATGCCGGAGGCCTTGGACATCACCCCGAAGACTCGAACGAGGTCGGCGATCGACGAGAGTGCGCCACCGATGTCGTCCGCGCAGGCCCGCGCGAGGCCGAGGGAGGGGTGCTCAATCAGCTGGGCCAGCTCGGTGAGAAAAGCCGCAGTACTGAAGGCAAATAGGGGGCCAGAGAGGGCGCAGCCCTGTATTATGCCGCTGTCAATCCAGTATGCATGTTCAAGAACCCCCTGCGCCAACGCCACCCCGTCGATGGACGCGTACAGAAACGCGACGAAGTCGAGGAAGCGATCGGGAAGCCCGAAGCGTGAGGGCCATAAACTCCGGATGCCGGGACGGGAAGGCCTGGCCGAAGTCCAGGGAGTACAAGAGCGGGACGTCCTGGGAGCCATGGGGGGTGACCGAGAGCATCCTGGCCGAGGCGTCGAGTTCGATGATGTTATCATCGAAGTTGCGGCGCGGTATGAAACCGCGCTGGCAGGGGGGGATGAGGGCCAAGGCGGGACGCACGGCGCGATTCATCGTAGCAGAGATGAGCTTGATATCGCAGTTCCTAAGACCGAGGACGCGCACCTTGTCTGGGGCCCGCTCGCAGTCCCCTGAGTGCAGCTCGTTATCGGTCACGTTTTTCGGCAGGAAGATCTGCATGGTGTCCGAGGCTGATGCGAGCAGGAACTACTGGCCGCCCCCGATCCACTCGAGGGCATCCCAGAGAACCTCCTCCCCGAAAGGGTGGGCTTGCCACGCAGCATAGGGCAGAGCATCAGGCCCAGGGGCCGAGTGTTGAGCACCACGCATAGCAGCGCGAAGCATGGCACGGGAGGGTGGGGGCAGGTGCAGATCACCAGCACGAGGTAGGAGACGTTGGAGGTAGGGGTGGGCAGCATCAACATCCCAGGCCTTCTTCCTAAAGACGGGGCCCCAGTAGTCGGTGAGGGCCTGCAGCCGCTGGGGCGGGTCCGAGACAGACGAGCCATTCGCCAGGCGGACGCAGGATAGCGAGACACGTCGATTCAGCGGCGACCACAGCCTCGCCTTACGCTCCAGGGCTCTGGGCTGAAGCCGAAGCTGAGAACGGTCCCCCTGACGGCGGCGGCGATCTTCCAATTCATCTTTAGCGGCGGACGCAGCTGCGGTCTGGGCCTGGTCAACCCAGGACTGAAACGAGGGAGGATGGGCGAGCTCAACCTTGCCAGCCCGCGCACTAATCATGTCACCAGCGAGGGGGTGTGATTCCTGAAGTCGCCGCGCAAGAGGGGCGTCCTGCCGCCAGACAACTCGTGCAAGAGCTCGTGCAAGCTGGAGAAGAGTGCGAGGGTGATGAGGACGAGCACGGACGAGGCGATCACGGATTTCGGCAGAAGCGATCTTCAACAACTTTTTGTAATGCTCGAGCTTGACAGGCGGGGGAATCTGGGGCCATCCGGAGGCTGCGATGAGACCCTCGAGGCGATGCTTGAACGCTGGCTCGTTAAAGATGTGCTTGGGGATAGCTCGCCCATCCTGAACCCTGGGGGCCCTGGAAGCGAACGAGACCACCGCCGCGGCGTGATCCGACGCGAGTCTGTCCGACACTAACGCGGCCGAATCGACAGTCGAGCCTGGATCACCGGCCGGCACATCTGCCATCCCGAGAGCGGGCAGTAGAAACGATCGATGGAGGATTCTGCATTCCCAGCGCGCTCGTGGCCACGTTCGATCTCAAGCAGCGGGGCGAGGGCAGCCCGCCACTGCGGTGCGCGGGCATGGTGCTGCCGCGCGCTCCGACGCACGGCCGCTGCAGGCATATGCAACAGGACGGACTCGTGCGAAGAGAAGTTGAAGCCGCCGTTGACCACGACCATGTGCGAGTCTGGTGCTCGCTCTGCATCGGCTCGGGCAACTCGAATATCCCGTGCAACCCGTGCGACTTCCAACGCAGAAAGCCCATGATTGTGGACAGTGCACACCTGAAAACATATCCCACCCAGCGAGATATCAACCCGAAGAACACGGCCAGGAACGAGAGGGACAGGAGGATGGACGACAGCATCAGGATGAAGAGGAGGAAGTACGACTGCGACGCCCCCGCGGATGCTGCCATCAGCATCAATGTCACAGAAGCTAGACCGCACAGTAAGATCACGAGCCACTGTGCCCAAGAACGAGACTAGTTGGTGATGATCCTCATGGATCTCTTGAAGAGAAAGGATCGCCTCCGCGAGACGCAACTTGAGAAGATAGTGGCGCTTCAAGTCGGCCTTCTCTCCACCAGCTTGAAGAAGTGCCCTCGCATTGCAGGAAGCAAACCGCAAGGGTTTCCCCAGGGATGTCGAGGTCCGCGACGTGGAGCGAAAGATACGGCATATGCTAAAGAGACCACTGGCTGGCCTCCACTGCGTTCGTGATCTCCTTGGTCGCGGCACGCAGACGGTCGATCTCCATGCGTTTCTGTTCAAGCTTCGGGATGCCCCAGTAGAGTACAGGATGTGCGTCGCCGGCCGCGACCTCGATCTGCATGATCTTGTCCCATCCCACCGAGAGGACACCGCGCTCACGGTCAGAGTAGAAACGCCGCCCAGGATACGCCTCTTCCGCCAGCTTACGAGCTTTGCGGAGGATGACTTCCTGCTCGATCTGCTTGGGGCTCTTGTCGGGGCCGAGGTGGATCCTGCAGCGCGCGTCGCTAGGCGGAGTGATCCAGAACTCCTTCCACTCATTTCCTTCGCGGAAATTGGCGAGGACACGGTCAACTTTGCGAGGGGCGACCCCGATAGGGCCACTGAACTTGATCTCGAAGCGCTTGCAGGGCAAAGTGCCCTTGGCTACGATCAGGCACCAATTACTTCCAACCCCAAAACCAATAGAAGATAGCCACGGCGCGAGCACCTCGCGTACCCTGTCGACGGAGGTGGGGCGCTGAGAGATGGCCACAACCAGAGACGGTCGACATCGCGGTTGAAGCCTGCAGGAACTTGAGGTTGAGGACGAGGACGGGCCTCGGCGAGGACAAGCTCGCGCCGAAGCTCAGCCATCTCGCGGCGGATGTCCGCGAGGTCCTGGTCATGCTTGGCGAGGCTGGAGGTGTGGGCATCGATGACACCCTTCTGCTGGTCGAGCTGGGCCTGCACTCTTCGTGAGAGAGAATCCAACTGCGGGGTCGCGATCCTGCGAACATTAGCCTCCAAGGTCTCGGTGTGGGCCTGCACCATGGCCCTGAGGTTCTCCACGGCGGCGAGCAGGGGCTTGTTGCTCTCGGCGGCCGTCTTGGCGATGGCGTCGCCGAAGCTGTCTTTGATGGAATCGAACTCGGCACGACATAACTGGCGAACGAAGTCTTCGTATCCTTCGGGCATCTCATCGTCGAGCGAAGGAGGCAATTCAGCACCACCACCACCACCAGCGGCGCCACAAGGCAGGGCCCGACGCTTCTGTGGGTTGGGATCGGCGACGCGCGAGGGGGCTGCACCTTTGCCAAGGTCTGCTCCTTTGCCCGATCTGAATTCCTGGGGCGGGAATGTCGGTGCCAACTCCAGCTGCTCCATCTGGGAGGTCGAGCGTTCATCAGCGGGAGCGCCTGCCTCCATCACAATCGGTGGGGACAGCGAGAGACGAGAGGAGGCGGGGGCCCAACTCCCGCAATGAAGGCACGCAAGGACAACCAGAAATCGGAGGATCGAATTGGCGAGTGGCCTCAAAGCGGAACCTCCCTCGCGCTCAGGTGTCGCCCCGAATGACTCGCGGTCGTCGGGACGGTTCATGGCCTTGAGCCAAAATGGCTACGGAGAGGAGGAAGGAGGAGGAGGAGGAGGAGGAGGAGGAGGAGGAGGAGGAGGAGGAGGAGGAGGAGGAGGAGGAGGAGGAGGAGGAGGAGGAGGAGGAGGAGCGAGGAGCAGGAGAGAGGAGGAGGAGGAGGGAGGAGGAGGACGAGGGAGGAGGAGGAGGAGGAGGATGAGGAGAAGGAGGAGGAGGAGGTGGAGGAGGAGGAGGGAGGAGGAGAAGGAGGGCGAGGAGGAGGGAGGGAGGGAGGAGGAGCAGGAGCAGGAGGAGGAGAGGAGGAGGAGGAGGAGGAGGAGGAGGAGGAGAAGCGGGGAGGAGGAGGAGGAGGAGGGAGGGGAGGAGGAGGAGGAGGAGGAGGAGGAGGAGGAGGAGGAAGGAGCGAGGAGGAGCGAGGAGGAGGAGGAGTACGTGTAGTCGAATGACGCGCAACCCGAGAGGGCGCGGCCTGCTGAACGCCGGTCGGGGCCCCGGGCGGGGCCAGGCGCGGGCCTGGCCCACTCGCCCCTGGGGTTGCCGGCGAGCTTGGCCCGCTGGAAGAGCGGCTCGCTGTCACAGAAGAGCACGGCCTGCCCCCGTCGCAGGGGGCGGAGGGAGGAGGAGGAGGGGCTGGAGAAGGAGGAGGAGGTGGAGGAGGAGGGGACGGAGGAGGAGGAGGAGGAGGAGGAGGAGGAGGAGGAGAGGAGGAGGAGGGTGGGGGAGGAGAAGGAGGAGGAGGAGGAGGAGGAGGAGGAGGAGGAGGCAGGAGGAGGAGGAGGAGGAAGAGGACGAGGGAGGAGGAGGAGGGAAAAGCAGGAGGAAGAGGAGGAGTTCGCACGCCACAGCCCTTGGCTATGGTTAGGCAAGACAAGAAGAGGAGAATGAGAAGGAGGCGAAGGAGGAGGAATGAGGAGGAGGATGAGAAGGAGGGCGAAGAGCAGGAGGAGGAGGACGAGGAAGAGGAAGAGGAGGAGGAGGACGAGGAAGAGGAGGAGGAGGAAGGAGGGGACAGAGGAGAAGGCCAAATCTCAGACGCTACGGCTGATCTTGCCTGAGTCGGTGCAGCATCAAGAAGAGAGAGAAGGAGTGATGATGACATCAATCTGAGGATGAGCCTCGCCACGAGGAGGGTGGAAGAAGATTAACGAGAAAGGAGGAGCAAACGACTCTCAAAGGTTCGAGCTCCCTCGACGCACGGGTAGCGGCGCCCGCCGCGTCGGAACCCGACAATCAGAGGGTCCAGGAATATGAAGTCGCTGTGCTCGTGGAAGGACTGCTGATCACCGCCACCGTCCGCGAGGACGCTGTGGGACGAGACCACCACTGGGAAACTCTGAACATGTACAAGCATCCATGCGCAACCGTTGCAAACGATGAAGAAACAACATCATTTGAAACCCGCCTGCCCACCAGCCGTGTAGCTGGTGCATGTTTTCAAGACGAATGTGCCAGGCGCTAAAACAATAATCAACGTTTGAACACGCTTCGGCCTCCATCCGTATAGCCCGTGCAAATGTTTAAACGTCAATCCGTGCGGCGCTGAAGCGAGAGCCACACTTTGAAAACGGGCCCGCCTTCTATCCGTATGCTGCTGGAGATCTGAGACTTCGGGGATCATGACTTGCGAGACCAACCCCACCGAAATGCCCAGAGGAGCAAGAGCAGGAAGTGAGGAGGTGATGGAACGTGGAAAAGATGGAGGAACATAACCGGCAACGAAGTCAGAGCTGAAGCGTCAAACCTCCTCCGCCTCCTCCGACTCCGACTCTCCATCCCCCTCCTCTCCCTCTCTCTTCCTCTCTCTTCCTGCTGCTCTTCATCCATCATCCCTCATCCCTCCTCCCTACTCCTGACGCTGACGCTGGTGGCAGGTTCATCCGTAGATTGATGTCATCATCCCTTCTCCTCCGTCCTCCTTCCTCGTCCTCGTCATCGTCCTCCTCCTCCTCCTCCTCCTCCTCCTCCTCCTCCTCCTCCTCCTCCCTTCTCCTTACAACTCTTCCCTGTCGCACCCCGAGACAAGTTTTTAGGGCGGGCCGGGCGTTTCGCCTGACACTGACTCACCATTTATGACCCTGACTATTAAACATTGGCATCAGCTTCACAAATGGAGGGCCGGTCGATTTCAACATGTAGCTCTCGCCGTAGCGCTGCGCACACTAGTTTTTAATCATTTGCAAGAGCTTCGCATATTGAGGGCGCTTCCTTTTCAACATATAAGGCTCTTGTCGTAGCGCTGGCGACATTCGTTCTTTTATATGCAAATTACCATCCGTATTATTATTGGTATTATCACCAATAGTATTACTATACGTAACATTAGTTCTATTTCTATTAACCGTATGAGTACTACCATTCGTATTCATGTCATAAATATGGAACAACTTTGCAAGAGCTTTACGGATTGAGGGCAGCTCGTTTTCAACATGTGGCTCTCGCCTCAACGCCTCGTAGATTCGATATTTTCACGGATTCCCAAGATCAGCGTACATATCTCATGGTTTGACTGCTTATCATGGCTATGAGGGTGCAACCGGCAAGAATTACGTTGGATCGCGGTGTTGAAGACCCCCAAACGGCGTTCTGGCACGATTCAGGATTGCCCAGACGCAAGAGTCAGGTTGCTCCGTGGATCCGTGGCGTTGGAATCCCGAGGACAATGCTTTGCCCTGCTTCAGGGCCCTCAACCGGCTGCTCCAACGGGGCAGTTCCCTCAGTGGCGATGAACCGCTGCTGGGGCCTATGAAGAGGGAGCTTGGAGGGAGGGTAACTTCCAATGTCGTTGATGACTCTTGGGCTTACACTGGTCCTCCTCCTCCTCCCTTCTGCTCACTCCTCCTCCCTGCTCCCTCCTCCTCCTTCCCCTCTTTTCCCTCCTCCTCCCTGAGGACGCAAGAAAGAATCGATGCCGCTACTCCCAGGACCTCTCCCGCGGTGCACTCTGTCCCGAATATTGAGGAGACTCGAGCGGTGCCGACGAGGTCTGTCTAGGACGAGTAGCAGCATCAGAGGCAGCACAAAACTGCATAAACATAAACTTTAGGAGATCCGCGTGGACTTCTCGGATTGACGCTGGACCCTCATCCCTAGCGCGCGGAGCGCGCCGGGGGCGGCGCTGGAGGCGCCGCCAGGGGGCCCAGCGCAGATCCAAGACATCCGCACAAAACTCCGAGACATTGTTTATGCAAGTATGTGCATTCTTCGAAGAACTGGTAGATGCTCCTCCTCTGACCCTCCCCCTGGCCGGGGGGCGTCTTAGAGGGGGCGTCTACAAGGGGGTTTCGCAGATCATGGCCCGACGCACGTGCGCGGCCCAGGGTGGGAGGGGGGGGGCAGGCGGCGCATTGGCATGAGAAGGGCCGCCCTGAAGCCTGGAGAAATTTCGTGGCCCTGGCCATGGCATCCCCCCCCCCGCTCTTGGCCGCCGCCGACTTGGGCGTGGCTTAATGAGGGGGTCACAAATGGGGGGGGTCAGAAAAGGTCCCCTTTCGTGCCCCTTTCGGGCCCCTCCAGAGCCCCAGGGGGCTCGTTTAGGTACCATTTGGGTACCTTTTCGGGCCACCCTCGCCGCCCCCCCATTTATGACCCCCCCATTACGCGGCGCCCAACCGACTGGCGCGCCGCCCCGCACTCCGGACGGGGCCCGCCCAGGTGGACCGCCGGCCGCCGCCCCGCCCCCCCCCCCCACGGAGGGCGCCCGGGCGGGCCTTCGGGATGTAGATCATGTCCTCGGCACCGCGGGCGGGCTCCCGGCTCACCCGGCAGCTCCCGAAGGGGAGAGACGGAGAGGGGGGGACGCTCTGGGGAGGGAGGGGCTGAGGGAGAGGCGACGTGGGGGGGACAGGAGGAAGGCGGAGCAGAGAGGACAGCGGGGCGGGGCGGAGAGGAGGAGGAGGAGGAGGAGGAGGAGGAGGAGCAGGAGCAGGAGAAAGAGGAGGAAAAGGAGGAGGAGGAGGAGGAGGAGGAGGAGGAAAAGGGAGAAAAGGATGAAAAGGAGGAGGAGGAGGAAACTGAGGACATAGCATGGCATGGCGACGCCCCAAAGTGGGGGAGGGGAGGGGCCTCTGTGGCCCCAAAAATCAACGAATCGACACCGAATGTGGAATCACTTCCGATGGTTTTTTCGAGGGGTACTTTTCTAAATGTTGGAGCCTATTTGGAAGGACTGGAAACCATGCCGTGGCATGGTGGAAATAATGACGCCAACGCTACAGCATAAGCACTATTCGGAACGAGCGATAGCTGGATAATGAGGCCAGCGCTTCAAAAACCGAAGCGAAATCCGAACTCCCGGGAATCCTATGTAAAAAACAACAATACACGGAAGGGGGCCGAAAAATGCACGGACGCCACCAGGGGGCACAGGAGAGTTGTATCCATATCGTTTAATAGTAGAGGAAAAACAACAGAAGCGAAGGCGATGACGAGGAGAAGAAGCAAGAGGACACGTGAGGAGACGAATAAGCAGGAGCATGAGGGAATGATGTTGAAGATGAGGGGGAGGAGGAGAAAGAGGAGGAGAAGAGGGAGGAGGAGGAGACCGACGAAGAGAAATAGGATGGCGAGGAGGACGAGGCGGAAGAGGAGGGAGGAGGCGGAGGCGGAAGGAGGGAGGCGAAAGCGGAAGGGAAGGGGAGGTAGGACAGCGCTGTCGGCGCTCGCCGAGCGCCCCCGTGGTGTTCAGGCCCCCTCTGGCGGCTCCTGGAGCTGCGACAGCGCCTTCATCCAGCCCTCGGGCTCGATCTGCACCAGGTAGTGCTTGACGAACTTCTTGATGCGGCCCACCTGCCTCCCTCCTGCTCCCCCCCCCCGTCCTGCCTGCCCGGGCCTGCCCTCCCATACGGCGGGCTCGTGGCGTGCCGACTCCGGCGCTGGTTCCTGACGCCGCGGGCATTCGCTCAGCCTTGAGGGATCGGCCGCTTCCGAAACGACAGATGGTTCGACATCGACGGACTCTGGGCAGGCGGCGGCTTTCAGCGTGAACCTGCCGGCGGCTGGGTCGCCGCCGGTCGACGCGACGCGAGCCTGCCTTCCCTCTCCACGTCGCCCTCGTCCTCCATCCTTTCCCCCTTGTAAACGGGATCCCCCCGTGGTGCAACACCGGGCGTGTCGTCAGAGCGGGCCAGCGTCTGCTTTGAGACTCCCTCACCGCGTGCTGTCTCGATCGAAGCTTGAAGGCCCCACAGTTCCACGGAGGAAGGACGGCTTGCCCTCAAAAACGGGGCTCGCGCTGTGGCGCCCCGCGCACTCGTCAACAACTACATTTGGTGGAGGGCGGGTCGTTTCCAAAATCGGGCTCTCGCCTGGGCGCCGCGCTCGTCTTAAACTTGCCCCGCCGGGTGGTGGAGGGCGGTTCCGTTTTGCGGTGGGGCTCTAGGCTTCGAGACCGCTGGCTCTTCTGACCGAGCGGCTACGGCAGGCTCGTGCCGTGACCACCCCGACGCTGGTCTCTGGCACCGCGGGGATCGCTCCACCTGGAACGACCCGCTGCTCCCTCCTCCTCCTCCTCCTCCTCCTCCTCCTCCTCCTCCTCCTCCTCGAAACGTCCTCCTCCTCGAACGATCCCAGGGCGCTTCGCGCTGAACGCCGCCCGGCGGGGCCGCCGGCCGGTCGACGCGGCGATGGGCCTGCCGCAGGAGCGCGCAGCAGCTGCACGGACGGATGGCGGGGCTCCTCGCCAGGAGCGGGGCTGTCGCCCCGCGCTTCCTCGAGCGACCGAAGGGCAGTCCTCACTCCTCCTCCTCCCCCCCTCCTTCTCCTCCTTTCCCTCCTCCTTTCCCTCCTCCTCCTCCCCCTCCTCCTCCTCCTCCTCCTCCTCCTCCTCCTCCTCCTCCTCCTCCTCCTCCTCCTCCTCTCGTCCTCGTCCTCCTCCTCCTCCTCCTCCTCCTCCTCCTCCTCCCCTCCCCACTCCTCCTCCTCCTCCTCCTCCTCCTCCTTTCCCTCCTCCTTCCCTCCTCCTCCCTCCTCCTTCTCCAACTCCTCCTCCTCCTTCCTCCTCCTCCTCCTTCCTCCTCCTCCTCCTCCTCCCCCTCTCCTCCTCCTCCCCTCCTCCTTTCCTCCTCCTTTCCCTCCTCCTCCCTCCTCCTCCTCCTCCTCCTCTCTCCTTCCTCCTCCTCCTCCTCCTCTCCTCCTCCTCCTCCTTCCCCCTCCTCCTCCTCCTCCTCTCCTCCTCCTCCTCCTCCTCCTCCTCCTCCTCCTCCTCCTCCTCCTCCTTTTCGAACTTCTCCTCCTCCTCCTCCTCCTCCTCCTCCTCCTCCACCGCGTTAGCTCTCGAGCTGGTGCGCTGTGATCTTTGCTGTGCTACCGATCTGATACTTCTCTCCCCGGCCCGGTCGCGTGGCAAGTGCGTCTTGCTGCCCCCCTGTCGAGGAGATTTCAGAATTCTGGAAGCTCATTCGGGTCAGAGTTGATGCTCGGTGTGCCTCTCGACCTTCGTTGGACCCCCTCCCACCTTGAGCAGGACCCGGGACGCCTCAGGACCTCGCTCGATCATTCATTGCCTTGGCAACGCTGCGGCTGACATCGCCGCCTTCAAGGCTGCGGAGAGGGGGTGGGAGTTGACCGCTGGTGAATTTGATTCGCATTCCACATTTTTAACTGATGTCGACACGCTTCTAATTCGAAAAGGACGCACGCGGGCCCTTGATAAGGGCCCGTTTACGTCCCTTGCGAGCGTGTCACTAGGGCTTATTGACACGCTCGCGGTGGATTCTTGGGGAAGCGAGTGGGTTGAGTCTTCCTCTGTGCGCAAGGTTCGCCTTTCCCGCCGAACCCAAGCGCTCACGACCTCGTCCCACCTCTTCTGCAGAGGAGGTCCCCGCTGGCAATGTGAGAGATGTCTCGAGCTTGTCACGGACTCGTTCATCCTGGTTGCAGCCGCCCGTGTTTGCTCAGGGGCCCAGCCTGCACCCACGAGCTTCCCCACGATGGCTGGGATCGCCGTTCGGAAGCTTTCGGTGGTTGTGTGGATTGGGTCGGGCGTTTTGCATCCCAGCCCTCGTATACGTGAGCGCCTGGGACCTCCATAATCTTCGGCTCTGTGTGAAGTGCGGGCTGATGGCCACGACCGCTTCCCGCCACCTTGTAGAGGGATGCCCACCTGTGCACAGCGGCGAGGATCAAGAGAGCCCCCCGTCGATGAACACGGTTCCACATTGTCACTCCTGGTCACTCATCCTCCTCCTCCTCGTCGTCCTCCTCCTCCTCTCTGCTATCTCCTCTTCCTGCTCCTGTGTTGGGGGGTGCCCCCGAGTGTCGCTGCCCCGCGGAATCGGTGCCGACCCAACTGTGCAGCTACGAATCGCACACGGGACTGCAGTGGGGGCGCGGCCGCAAGAGACTCTCGCGAGAAAACCCAGCCCTGAAAATCTGTTGAGTTGCTTGCGCAGGGCCTGCGTTCCTTAGAGTCCAGTCGTAGAAACCAAGGGCACACCAGCCCTGGCAGCTTCTTCCCGAGTCGCGCTAGGAGCATGCGGAAGCAACCTGTTGGAAGACGCCAGTGGCCGTTGGAGGAACAAGCTGGGAGTGCGGCAATGCTGCCGCCATGGCACGGGCGGGCCATTGCGCGCGCGAGGTGTGGTTGTGGGAGAAACTTAGGGTACCCTGGGCGCAACAATTTCTTGATTCCCTTAACGATCGGCGTGGTAATTACAGCGCATCGTTGTAACCGAAGAAACACATGCGGTTTCTTGGTGCGGGTCCCCACCGTGCTCGGTTAATCGGGAGAAGCAGTCCTTGGGGGCACCCCAGATCCGAAAAAGAAGGGTCGTCGTCGTCGACGTCGTTCAGCTCCTGCTTCTGCCCATCATCAACCTCCTTCCTCTCCACAAGGTTGGCTCCCCTGCCTGCTGTGCCAGATCGAACATGTTCTTTTTGCTCATCAGGGAGCTTTTGAGCGCCCGCAAGGCTGGCTTGGTCTCCGACTCCACAAAGGACGACAAGACGACGTACCTCAGCGGGGTGGCCACGAACAGGCTGAGCATCTGATTGACCTCGCACACCTTCTCTCAGCGAGTGAAGTGGTCACGGGCAAAAGAAATAACAAAAAGACGCTGTTGAACATAATAATAACCGAATAACCATGTTGCAGGCACAGCTCCGGACCTAACTAAACACGTGCCGACGACTCCGCGTTGAGATCCAGAGGCCACGTGAGATTAGAATAAAGAGCGTGGAAGCTGCCTGAGACTTTATTCAATCGCTCTGGTAACGATGCCTTGGTCAGCTCACGGGGTTGTTCGAGGGTGGGGCGAGATAATGCTGCGGTACAGAAGCAGACGTACAGCAAGCGTCGTAGGGGAGGACTGGCGAACGACCACATGAGTCCAGACCCCCTGGGGCGACATGTTTGAATCCAGCGTGGCGTGCACGGATCCTGACTTCATTCAACTAGCCTCTAGCATTGAACCTGTGCGCTGTAAGAGGGCGCCGTTCATGTGCGGACAGTCTTTTAGCGGCTTGTGGGAGCAGGGGGTCAGCGTGGGACGGATGGATCAGGGGGACGTAAGACCTGGGTACAGGGGACTCGGAAATCCCCGACGAGGTCGTCACAAAAATGACGAGGCCGAACCTGCATTTTGACGAGGCCTCCCGCTGCAGACATCCCACGAAACTCCTCCTCGTCAAAATCCGAGGCGCGGTCGTCAAAAAACGATGGCGAACCCGAGTCCTGGCAAACCCGGGTCTTACGCTCCCCCGAATGGAGAAGGCCAAGGGGAAGGGGAGTGTGAGCGACTGGGGCGGACACCAGGAGAGGAGAGGCCAAGAGCATGACCTTCTGCACCCAGCCGTCGGCTATGACCTCCGATGCGTCGTCGAGCAGGAGCGCCCGTACGGAGCTGAGCGAGATCTGCTCCCTGGTGGCCTCCAGCACCTGCGCGCGGGATGGGGGCGGGTGGGGGGACCGACCAGGAGAACCAACACACATGCCGGTGTCCGGAAACACTGAACCCAAACATGTTGCCATCTCCTCGGGGTCCACGCCTTGCTTCCGCCGGCTTCCGCCGGCCCTGCGCCAGAGGAGCGGCTCTCGTTGCACTTTCGCTGCCCTGCCCTCGTCGCTGGAAGTTACGTGGTGGGCCACATGCCAACACAAAACTACTGAAACGGTCGCCTCGGCGCGACCTAACGTCCTGCAAGATCGGGGCTCCAGGAGGTGCAGGCAGACCGGCGGGGCGACTCGCAGGGCCTTGAGCCGTCGAGAGGCTCCAGGCCCCGCTCTCAGACACCTCGACCCTCCGCCAGCCTTTCGCCGCCTCCGGGGAAAAGCGAGGACGACGAGGGGGAGGAGGAGGAGGAGGAGGAGGAGGAGGAGGAGGAGGAGGAGGAGGAGGCGGAGGAGGAGGCGGGAGGCGACGACTCAGGAGTTGGAGCGCCCCACGCGGCCGAGGTCGAGGGCGCGGCCCTCCCAGGAGCGCCCCACCGGCCGCCAGCGGCACGCGGCCGTGCGCAGCGCGCGCGCAGCGCGCGCGGCTCGTCGCCGGCGGGTGGTGCGGGGCCACGTCGAATCCGAGGGCAACTTGCGGGTGATTCTTACCAGCCTGGAAAATATCCCTATCCCTATGCTGGGCACCTCTTCATCACGATGCCAACCTTAGGGATTCCCTTAGTTTTTGAGGGCGAATCCCTAAGATTGTCATCGCCTGTTGGCGTGTCAATCATAGGGATAGGGATACGTTCGAGGCTGGTAAGCTTCTGGAGGAAAGAGAGCCGTGCACATGCACCGATGCTGGGGCCAGGCCCAGCCTGGGCCCAGGCTCGGTTCCTGCGCCCTCCTGCCTTGGCCGGGAAGGCACGTGCGCCCGTCCTGGGGACAAGATGGGCCTGGCCACGATCGGTGCATGTGCATAATTCTCCTCGCCGGAGCTTCCTGACTACCCTAGGGAAAAAACAAACCTACTTCGCTTTTGACCACCCTCGCTTCCAAGAGATACCAAGCGATGCCAAATTGCAGCCTGTACTGGTCAGGCCGGTTGACGAGGAGGCGCGTGGTATGGCTTGGTTTTGCCTGGAAGCGAAAGCGGGGTAGGTAATTCACGCTCTGATACCCACCAGACCCCCCCAACCCAACCCGAAGACCCGAATTTCGGGTTCGGTGGGGGCAAGGGTTCCACATGTCTTTTTTGTCGATGTTCCCCGACCCCCCCCCCCACTGGAAATCGAGGGTAAATCTGAGCCTTCGGGTTGGGTTGGGGTGGTTTGGTGGGTGGTGACTTCCTGCACCTCCCCTGGCCACGAGAACAAACTACACGATGGAGGGCTTCAGATCATATTCGGCCCCCGGCGGCCGGGACCCGAGCCCCGGGACCGCCAAGGGACGAGTCGGGCTGGACAACGGGTCGCGGGGAAGTGGCCTGGACCTCAGACAAAAATCACGGCGTCGGAGTTCTGGATTTGCCTGTTGTTGGTCACCCAGCTCGGCATTTCGTTCGCATTCGATTCCATGTCGCATGGTGGTCAAAAGCACCTTTTGCAGCATCTCAGATTCCGTCATCACTGTAATGCCTGGCACTATGCAAGAAAAACTGTTGCGCGAACATATTCGACCACTCCCTAGCCGACACTTGAACAGCTTAGCAAAACTCTGGTCACTACCACGGCCAATCCCCCTTCCAATTGTTGGTCTCCCCCTACGGCTGAGAAGATCAAACACCGCAAGGAAGGATCCAATTTCCGTGAAAGCAAATGGGTCTCCGCAAAAGCATCGAAATCTCATCTCGAAATTCCAGCCCGTTCGAAACTTCCTCGAAACATGATCTCGGTTCAATAGCTGTTCGATTCGGAACTCATTGAGACCGAACTTGCGGCGCGAGTTCGAGGGCATGTGGTACAGGGTCTGCGGCACTCGTGTGCATTCCGCATCAAGCTTGCAGAACTCGAGGGCCATTGGGACGGGGCTTACAAAGGGGGGTGCGTTTGGGACCGGGTTTGTACGAGAACGATGTTCAACCCTCCAACATTTGCAATTGCTTCCTCAACGTGGACCCCCAGAATTCTGGGCCCCTTCCCCGGGACCCGTAATTACGTGCAGAATCGTTTTCTGACGGCACGTGGGCCCAGCGAGGCCCCCATAAGTGCCCCAAACCTCCAATCGTCACCGTATTCGAAACCGATGGGGGGGCGGGGGAAGGCCGGGTTTGCGGGTTTGCTGCTGCCGAGACCGGGCCTGCTCGGCCCTGACCCGAGGTAGGAACAATGAAAAAAGCTGCACCACCACCATGGACGACCACCAGCGGGAGGAGCAAGGGGCCCCACTGGGGGAGTGCCCCCCCCCCCTTCTTGCTCGAGGCACCCATGTATAAGTGGGAGGCATCGTGGCTGGAGGTGGCCAAGCGCCCGCAGGGGCAGGCGCCCGCGGGGGCCGGGCCCGCGACCAGCTCGCCGCGGCAGCGTGCTGCAGCGCTGCCGTGCTGAGCTGCTGGGAGCCGGGCTCTGAGTCTGCCAGCTGCGCTGCCGAGGGCCGCGGAGCGAGCGGCAGAACGGCCCGGGCCGGCCGAGCTGCAGAGCGCCTGCGGCTGCAGCGGCGCAGCTCGGCGAGGTGCCGGCAGGGGCCACGGAGGCGCCAGGCAGGGCCGCCAGGGGGCGGGGTCAGGAACTGTCGGGTTGGAGGGGGCGCGGGTGCCGCGCGTGTCTCTGTCAGTGCTCCGCGACCCCCCCCCGCCCTGGAGGTGGAGGGCAGGCCGGGGCCTCCGGGTGGGGCTGGGGTGCTCTGGTGGGCGGTGAGAGCCGTGCCCGGCCGGTGCGCGCGTCATGGCCGGGCGCTGAGCAGGGACGCCCCGCCACGGGGCTGGCCCTGGCCGTCGCTCGGACGTCCATTCCCTGTGTTTTTTCTGTTTCCTGCTTCGTGCGCGGTTGTTTCGCCAAACGATCAAGGGTGCTCCTCGATGGTCCTCGCCGAAGGAAGGCTGCACACGTCCGAGCGATGCCAAGGGCCAGGCACGGGCGCCGAGCTGCGGGAGCAGCAGGGCAGGGGCGGCGGAAGGCGGCCTGCCGCCCGGTGCAGGGAGCACAGCAAGCAGGCCACGGGGGCCGCCCGGCCGCAGGCCTGGGCGCGCGGCCGGGGCAGCGGGGCTGGACGTGGAGCGGCCCGAGCGTGCCGAGGATCACCCAGCTCGTCTTGGAGCATCGTGCGGGCAATACTTCTGTCCATGTCCACTGCGATGTGGAGTTTCGGATTCCCTTCCCCAGGAACCAGAGGCGCGCTGGATATGGATAGATTTGCCCCCTAGAGGCTCGATCTGCATCCATATCCAGTGCGCCTGGGCCTTGTGGCGCTCCTTCCCAAAAAATCCAAGACGCACTGGATATGGATACAAACCTTGCCCGCACATCGCACCCGATCGGTGCGCATGCATGCATGCATGCATGAAATCACCCACCTGGGGGGAAGGGGCGCTTCAGTCGCAACGTGCAAGGCGTGGAGGCGCCCACCTGGGGGGGGGCAGGCGCACGAGCCGGGAAGGAGGGCGGGAATCCACCGGGTGGGGTGGCACCCGAAGGGAAGGGGGGAGGGAAGGCGCGAAACCCGAGGGGGTGGCGCGCCCTCGGGACGAGCACCTGATCGGTGCACGTACAAATCAAAGGGCACGGGGCCTGCCTGGGGGGATAGGCACCGCGCGAGGTGTCGTAGACGCCCAAGACACACACAAAATCCACACAAACACACACACACATACACACACACACGTGTTTTGCGCCCCAGCCAGCCGCACAGCAACGCGGCGGAGGCATGCTAGCGGTAGAGACTGAGCGAACGCCGCGGGCCCAGCTCACAGCGGCAGCAGAGTCGTACGACTTCCCAGATCGGGAACCACGCTGCATGACTCACTGAGGGGGCAGTCACGAGGGGGGGACGAGACCGATGCACAATGAATGGGTGCTGGGGGGGGGCTGCGCGCGAACACCCACACGCACACACGCACACACACACACACACACACGCACACCCGCACACCCGCACACCCGCACACCCGCACACCCGCACACACGCACACACGCACACACGCACACACGCGCACACGCGCACACGCGCGCACGCGCACACGCGCACACGCGCACACGCGCACACGCGCACACGCGCACACGCGCACACGCACACGCGCACACGCACACGCACACACGCACACGCACACGCACACGCACACGCACACGCACACGCACACACACACACACACGCACACACACGCACACACGCACACACACACACGCAGACACACACACACACGGCTTAACCCCACCTCCTGCCCCCCCCCTCACACACACACGCACACACACACAAACACACAAACGCACACACACGAACACACAAACACACATACACACGCAAACGCACACAAACACACAAACACACAACCACACACATAAACACACAGACACACACAATAACACAAAACAAGCACACAACCACACACACAGACACAGACACAGACACAGACACAGACACAGACACAGACACAGACACAGACACACATACACATACACATATACACACACACACACACGCGTACATACAAATGCACGCACGTCGTCCAGGTGCGCCAGTCGAGAGCTCGACACGTGCGATCACTGTTGCCCGTGACTGGACCAGCCACCCTTCCCGCAGCCCAAGGGCAGCCTTGGCAAGCGGTTGCAGGCATCCCCGGACTTCGCGCCTCGCGCCCCGCGAGGCGCAACGCGCGGGCATCTCCGCGCTCTCGCGCCGCCGCCCCGAGCGCGAGAGCGCGAGGGCGCCTCGCACGTCCGGGCCGCCGTGCGCGAAGCACGGCCGTCGCGGCGCCCCGTCGGGTGGACACCAGCTTGGACCCGCGTCGCCGCGGCGGGAGAGGAGGCCGCGGTAGTCTGCGGCCTCCAGCACGCCGGCCGGATGGCCCACGATGATCTGGGCACGCAGCGCCCGATCCATGTCGGCATCGAGATCCTCACGGGGACGCACTGGGGGGGGAGGCACGGGGAGACAGACCAGTGGTGGAGAGAAGGTTTACGCAGAAACCACGTATACAGTCGGGGCGTTGACCTAAGGAACCGTATATAAGGAACGAGGCCCCTTTTATCCACAAGTTAAACTTCGATTTCCCATCGAAAACATAAGGAAAGCCTGAGGCAAGCTGTGAAACACTTAAGGAACGCGGAGCCCCTTCCCAACGAAAAGGGATCCTTCTTCAGGGCCCCGACTGTACTCCACCACCCTGCCTCGCAGCGGCCAGCCTGGGCCCTAGGATCGTGTAGCCTCGGCCAGGAGGCATACGCGTCACGCCATGACCCAGATGGCCCTGGCCTGGCATGGTGGCGGAAAGGGTGGTCATCCCAGATCTTCCCGCTGGAGCTCAAACTGTTTGAATACAGGACTCGGCCTGACCTAAGGAACGATAAATAAGGAACGAAGCCCCTGTTTTTCCAAGGAGCACCTGGGAGGCTCGCCGCCAAAAAGGTAGCGGAACGCAAGCAAACCAAAGGAACGACCGAGCCCTTTTTAAAAAGTAAGTGTTCCTTATTCAAGCCGGATCCTGTTTACACATCGGAGAAACTCTTGGGTTTTTCTTTCCAGAAGGGTACCCTCACGACGCCTGCCAACGTGGAGACCTCACTCCGATGTCGCAATATTTGTTCAGAACGTGGACCCCCAGAGACCTGGACCCTTTCCCCAGGACTGGTTATCATCCCGAGCCATGTTCTGACGGGCCAGAGGCCCAGCGAGGACCCCTGGATGAAGAAAATTTGCAAAAACCTCCCGTCGTGATTTTGTCCAGATGAAAAGAGGTTGTGGTAGACGTGGATTCTGCAGAAGGAGCTTAATCGAATGTCAAAGAGACTTCAGCAGGGCACTCGCGCATGCGAATGCACCACTGTGCACGTAGACTCATCCTCCTGGTATGCTCGTCGACAGCTCACTGCCATCATGCCGAGTAGCACTCGTCGCCCAGAAGGGAACAGGTCGCGAGTCTCACGAACATGGGACGCTGCGCACTCGACATATCAGCAAGACTCCAGGAGGAAGGATCCAACCGAAGAGGCGAAATCCAACAGGACACATTCACGCGAATCGTGCGTATAGTGTTCGCGATCGACTCCTGCATGCCAGTTTGCCGTTTTCCAATCAAAATCGCAATCCAGTGCTGCATGGGAGCTGCAGTCGGACTTGATTGGACAGGACTCCCGAGAAGACACACGACTCCTCCGACGGCACCATGGCCTTTGATCATCCACCACAGGACATGCGGGTCGCATAGGCTGGGACAGACAGGACATAAGGGTACCCTCGGTTTGGCATGGTCGACCTGTCAAACTTTGGAGTCCCGAAACGGTGCGGTGACCGACCGTGCGGTGACCTCGAAGTCCTCCGCGACCGAACCGCACGGCCCGTCCACGCACGGCTTTGGGACCCGGGCTGCCCCGGTCGCCCGAGACGTCCTCGGAGAACGACCCCGAACCCCCACCGACTCGACACACGGTGGGGTCACCACCCCGTCTGGGGGCCCCCGACAAACAGTGCCGACTGCAGACCGTGGAGTCGACCGGCGGAGGTGACCCCTCTGGCCTCCGCGGGCCGCCTCCATCCGGGGCAGGCCGCTGGCGTCGACGACGCGGCGCCCACGAGAGGGGGCGAAGGAGATCCAGGACCCCCTGGAGCGTGGGCCCCAGGAGGAGCAGGCTCTGTGACTGGTCTTCACTGGCCCTTCCGGCGACCGATCGCAGGGGTGATGCCGAGGATGTCGGGGGGGAAGGACCTCAGCCTTACTCCAACCCTAATCCTGACCCGCGTGACTTTTGCCCACTAGTTTCGCGCTCCGCGCTGTAAGAGGCGCGAGGCACGAACAGACTCGCGCTCTCGCGCCGCCTCTCAGTGGGGGAAAAAGAGTACGAGAAAGACGAGGATGAGGAATCACGAACCGAGAACTGTGAATAACGTCGCGCCCTCGTGGAGGCCCCTTCTGCACCCCGTGACATATTTCCACTGCGCTTCCCCCAAGTACAATTCCCCCTCTCGTGACGGATTTACTTGCTGCCACGGTTTGCGGCAGTCCCATCGGCGCTGCGTTCCTGCGAAACTTCGCTCTTGAAGTAAGCCACCTGCCACTTGTCCCGAGTGAGCATGAGAACGCTGCACCAAAGTAGAGAGGGAGAGAGAGAGAGAGAGAAAAACAAAAAAGAGAGAGGGAGAGAGAGCAGCAGTGACTTGCAATAGGTGCGCTTCTACACTTGGTAACGAGATACACCAACAGTGCAGCGAACCACCTGGACATATGACAACGAGAAGGGACCGAGGTATGAATAGCTCACGTGCATGCATCATGCTTGCCCGCGAGGACCCAACAGCGAATGAGATTGCACCCTTGATGCGCGCTCGTGTGGCGCAACACCTGGGAATCGATATATGTTGCGCATGCTATGCGGGGAGGGAACCTATATATATATATATATATATATATATATATATGGTGCAAGCTTTAGTGTGCGATCTACGTGGCGCGATATGTGGGGCATCTTTGCGGAGCGAGCTGTGTGGTGTAATCTGCGCTGTGCACCGTATGGGGTGCAACGTGTGTGGTGCAAACTACGCGCGGTGCGAGCCAACTTGCATAAGCTACGCTGTGCAATCAGCGCGGTCCATTGGGGGTGCACGCCACAAAACGCGATCTCTTGGGTGCAGCCCATATCGGAGAGCAATATGTTGTGCGAGCGCCGTGGCGTCATGACACACAAATTTGCGCAGAAGGCGGGGGGGTGGGTGGGTGAAGTCCAGAAATTTACTAGCCTGCACCACGGGACGGGCACGGGCAGATATCCTGGGCGAGCATCCGAAAAAGGCCCTGGGCGCAAACCATGACGTGCCTACCGAATTACTCAGGAGGGAAGCAGCCAACGCTTACTTCAGCACTGTCTGGGGGACGGACCGAAGTTAACGGGCGAATAACGGTATAACATATGTTTTTCGCCGTCGGGGGCACTTGCCCCAGGGCGGCTGGAAAGTTTATACCCTTACGGTGGCACCGTAGGGGTATAAACTTTCCAGCCGCCCAGGGGCAGGCGCCCCCGACGGCGAAAAAGTTTATTGTATACCGTTCTTCGCTCGCTGACTTAGGGCAGACACTGTCTGGGGGACGGACAGAAGAAACACATGCGAAGAGGACGACAAGAGCAAGCATGACGGGCCCGGTGGATGCAGTAGTGAGCGTGCATACGCAGGCGTGCGACGCGCACAAACGTGCCAAGCAGAACTGCACAAGGGGGAGAGACAAGAGAGAGCGAGAGAGAGAGAGATAGATAGAGAGAGAGAAAGAACATGAGTCACATTCTCTACGCGGATAACCGAGAGGGATAGGGAGAGAGAGAGAGAGAGAGAGAGAAAAAAAGAGAGAGACAGATGGGGCACATAGTCGCTGGAAGAGAACGGTGCTGCACATGTGAAGACTCGCTTCGCTTCGCTTGAACCTTGGTCCTGTGGCCTTACGATGCTGGGCGCCATCCGAGGGATCAGCCGCACGTGCTTTCATTGTAGGGGCGTGTTGCCCACGGAGAAGCGGGGCCGCAGGTGTGAGTCGAGCCGGCGCGAGTGGGAGCAACAGCGCGAGGCACGGGGCCACGGGACAGGCTTCAAAGCAGAACACGTCAGGACCGTGGCGGCCTGGACGGGCGCGACGCGGACGACTGCGTCGAAGCATGCGAGCGGCGACAGCGGAAGCGAGCTTCTCCTCGGGGCGGATGCCTGGGCAGCCAACCGCCGCCGACTGCGCACCTCGAGGGAGCAGTCGGCATCATGCCGCCGAGCGACGCACAACGCACTTGGCATCAGGTGCACCTGTCCCTTTGCCATGGCCTGCCCGAGGTGTGGAAGCAGGCCCGCGACGCACCAGACAGGGCGAGGAAACTGACAACATTTCATGCCGAGTCGCCGTCGTGCCCGCCTGGAGTTCACAACACCGAGAGCTTCGGTGGACTCGCAGGGGCACTCGCACTCGGCACTCCCACCATTGAAGCCCTTGGACCCCAAGATCTTGGGTTGGGCAGGCGAGGCTGTCTGCATTCTGAAGAGAGCGCTCGTTTGCCCCTTTGCCCCTCCGATCCCCCAGTTCAGCGACCCCACGTCGACTCGCGTGGCCTGTTCCCGCAGCCTCAAGCACCTTTCAACGAAATCTTCGAGGGAGACACAGCCCGAATTACCTACGCCGGGGACCTTGACACATTCCCGTGTCTGCTTTGCGTCCGCGTCCAACGCACGAAACCACGACCGGACTTCTGGCTTGGCCAGCTGGAAGGAAGGCACACCTGCTGTTAGCCCGTTCGTATACAGTATGGGCACCTTCACCCATCTCTTAACGAGCAACCGCAGACGGTCAATATACTGCTTCTGATTCCTGAGGCGAGTCACAATGGCAAGGTTCAACTCTTGTTGAGTCCCTGCGAAAACATCCTGACGGAATCCGCCATCGTGGCGTGGGCACTGAGTGGAGTTCGCAGGCCCCTACGAGTTCTCAGTACTGACTACGCTGGATACTCTTTATGGATCCCAGGCCTCCAACTGACGGACTCCCTGGGGTGTTCCGCATGGCGTCTGGCGGGTGCCGCATGACTTCTCCAGAAGTGTGGTATCCCCACGATGGACCCCATGGACTAAGAGGATCCCAAAAGGGCGCCGCGCCAGGACGGGCCGCAAGGGCCCTGCGTCTGCCTGCCGAAGATGAAAAAAAACCGCTGCGCAACGCATCCCACAATCACGCCACTGAGGCCACGAATGAGCTGGCCGAGACCGTCGAGTCCTAGCCCCACCTGGACTTGAGCCAACATGGCTCCGAATGGCGATGAGGTAAAACTGAGGAGGATCAACATGATGAGGTGAAGACGTGGAGAAGAAAATGTGGTAGACCTGTCTCAGCGACACTGCCGTGTGATCAACTGCCCAACTTGAAATACACCCAACCATGGTCGGACAGAACCACATCGGCACTGCTACTAATGCACGGGGGGAAGGAGAAGGCGACGAGTCTTGAGCCGCCTCTAACGGGCATAGGAAGCCCAGAGCGTTGAGGTAGCGCTCGAGATCCTGCTGGCGCCTTCTTTGATCTCTATCTAGCGCTCGGTAATACACGGCTACACTGCGTCTGCCACTCGCTCGCCACTCTACTTATCTTGTCGCTATACAGAGAGCGAGATGGGGTGGGTCACGAATTCGACTGCGCAAAGGTCTGCTTCCAACTCACGAGCCCTGTCGCTGGCGCGCTCTCATCGTCAAACTGAGTAACACATAAAACATGAACTGCAACTTCGTCAGCCCACCTGCGACGATGAATGCGCACCCCACCTGTTCTCACTATGTCCGCCTCCCCCTCCTTTCTCCACTGATGCGCCGGTAAGTTGAAACTATGTCTCAAGGTAAAGGTATGTTTGCGAATGCACCCGTACCGACTAGACGTGTGTTCTTGTGCGTGTGTGGGGTGTGTGGCAATCGGATTGTGACAGCGGTAGCAGCATGGCCTTCGCATTGGTCAACCAACCTTAACTATAATGTTGCCGCTGCCCACGGGCAGCTATGGAACGCGCCGACGACGAGCACACCATATAATCATTGCTTGGTTCTGAAGAGGGCCCCAAAACGGCCCCAGGGGCGCCCAAGATCGCCCAAGAGTGCCCCAAAACAGCCCCAAGAGGGGGAGCACGAACCACCAAGTCGAGCCTTCCGCCCCAAGAGGCCCTCAGGAGGCCCCACGAGGTCCCCAAGAGAGCTCAGGAGGCCCCCTGGAGGCCCCGTGGGGAGCCCAAGAAACCCCAAAAGAAGTGCCAAGAGGCTCCCAAACGGCCCACACGAGGCTTTAAAAGGCCACGAACGCGCAAGCTAACGCCTTCGATGGAACAATACAGGCTGGCGGAATGGCGAAGCGATTAAATAATGAATGCTTGCTTCCTTACCAACGGAACATCAAGAATCATGACAGACATGTGAACCTTGCATTTGGCTTTTCCGCCCACTAGCGTGGCGTTCCAGACGGTTATCTTCCTGCTCAGCCGATGCGAACCACATGCCGACACGCCATGAATACGTTCGACCCCTGCCAGGCCACCCCGTCTGGATAAAGCTCAGGTCCGGATAGGTACGCCTCAGGGCCCGCTGGCCGCGCGGGCAACACGACCTCGCTGAAACTGGCGGGGCTTCAACGCGTGAGCCCAAATGGGAGCCGCTCTCTCGCTCGCACGCACACACACATATATATATATATATATATATATATATATATATAGATGTGTGTGAAAGTGCGTGTGTCCATGTGTGTGTGGGTGTATGTGTGTGTGCGCGTTTGTGTGTGTGTGTGTGTCTGTGTGTCTGTGTGTGTGTGTTCGCGCAGCCCCCCCAACACCCATTTATTTCGCATCGGTCGTGCTCTTACTGATCATCCGCCTTCGTGTCGCCCGTGCCTGCTCACCCACCTCTTCTATTTCTCATTTCGTCGCTACTTTCTCGCGCTGGAATCGAATTACGATCAGCTGAATTTGGAGTTTGGTCGATTCCAATCCGATTCGAACTAGATTCCAATGACAGTCGAATTGGACACAGCTGGATCTGGGATGTTCCCAGTCCTAGTTGCATTCGGTTCCAGTAGGGATCCATGTGTAATCAGCTGGATCTGGGATCTGCGATTTAAATTATACCCCAACAGGGGTCCAATTGGAAACAGATGGGTCTGTGATATGCCCAATACTACTGGAATCGGATTGGAAACACCTGTATCCAGAGTTGGCTCCATTTCAAGTATCCGATCGTTCTTTTCAACAGGGCTCACGTAAAAATCAGCTGGATCTGGGATCTGCCCAATTCCAAGTAAGCTCAAATTCGGTTCCACTGGGAGCCTATTTGTAATCAGCTGGATCTGTGGTCTGCTCAACTCCAATCAGACGTTACCCCGATTCCAAAAGGAATCCCACTTGGACTCACTCAGCTGGACCTGGGGTGTGCCAAATTCCCAGTGAAGTCCAATTTCAATCTAAGTTGACTCTGATTGGAATCAGCTGGATATGACGCCTGTCCCATTCGAATGGGGTTGTGATCATATGCAATTCATAATCCACTCTCAAAAGCTAGACCTGGGATCGTCTCAATCCTAGTTGGATTCGGACTAGATCCCAATGTGAACTTAATTGGACTTACTGGGGCCTATGATCTGCTCAGTTCTAATTTTACCCTGCGTCAATTCCACTAGGAATATATTTGGAACCAGCTGGACCTGAGACGTGCACCCATGCAGTTCGATTCCGAATAAATTACCATAGGAATGCAATAAGAAACAACTGGGCCTGGGATCTGTTCAAACTTGTGGAATATGAAATTCCCATCAGAATAGCCGTGCCATCAGCTGCATCTGGGCTCCGCTCCACCCCCATGAACTTTCAATTACGTTCCACTCTACCTCTGTCTCCCTCCCTCTCTCTCTCTCTCTATCCCCCATCTCTCCTCTCTCTCTCTCTCTCCCGCCCTCTCTCTTCAACGACACTCAAACCCAAGAGTCCTCCCAAGAGCTCCGATCCCCAGAATCCGCCCAAACCAAGCCAACCTAATGAACACGCATGGTTTTTCACTTCTCATCCCAGAAGGCCAGATCTCCAAATGAAGACATAAAATACTCACACCCCTGACATCGCAAACCGCGTACTTTCACAGGGTTGATGTTTGGTGGGGTGAGACAGAGAGAGAAACATTAACAAAAAAACGAGAGCGAGAGGAACGAGAGAGAGAGCGAGACAGAGATACATAGAGACAGGCAGAGAGAGAGAGAGAGAGGGAGAACAGGACAGAAGGAGCGAGAATGACGAGGAGGATGAGGACAATGAGGAACAGCACCACCGCTGTATAGGTTGCGAAATGTCAAAGGGGGGGGGTGAAGGCCAGGGGGGGCAACGGGATGACCGCCCCCTGCGCCAGCGGATTGTTGGCACACCTCGTATTAGCGCAGCACGTGTGTACGATTGCACGCGAATTTCATACGCACGGCTCTAAAGTTATTGCGCGTGCTGCCGTATGAGTGTGTGGACGCGCGTGCATCCACGAAAGTGCGATTAAGTATGTTCGTGCGTGGTTGTAGGTGCGCGCGTCCATGCGTGTAGCGCGGCGCCTGTGCGTTTACGATTGCGCGTGCGAGTACGTATGTTCGCACTTACACTTGTACGTGTGCGCGCGTGCACATGCATGTGCATTTGCACGTGCACCTGTGCGCTTACGCATGCGTTTACGCGTGTCTGCACGCGCGCGTTGTGCGCACAAGTGCGCACTCAAACGTGCACGAACGCGAGCTGTGGGGTGGGTGGGAGGAGGGAGGACGCACGAGCGAGGAGGGAGGATCGAGGAGGGAGGATCGAGGAGGGAGGACCAGGAGGGAGGATCGAGGAGGGAGGATCGGGGAGGGAGGATCGAGGAGGGAGGATCGAGGAGGGAGGATTTCGCTCAAGCGCGAAACGACCACCCTGGATCGGACAAAGGAATGGGAGAACGACGACGGGCATGACCGACATGTTTCAACTCCTGCCGCAGCTGCCCATCTTAAAGATGGATGTCTGTTCATCCGCTCCTGCCCCCCGCTCCGTCCTTGCCGCGGGCAGGCGCATCTAAGCCTCGCAACGCGCAGCGGCGCCGTGCCAGCTCGGCTAAAGCCTTGCATCCAGAGCTGGCCGCGCCAAGAGAGTGAGGTTAGGAGGACTCGAACTCTGCTGTACTCCGCACTCTCGGTACGCATCTGGTTTAGCTTTGCTAGCCCTCAGCGCTACTCACCCAAACCCACAAACGAATGAACCCTACAACCCCAGAAACACATCGTAGTTAACTCGTTTGCGTTCGCTACGGCGCGAGATCACAACGCATACCCGAAGAATGTTTGAAACGCTCGTGCCCTCGTAAGGGCACTGCCCGACGTGAATCGACACCATCTGGCCAGGGATGCTAACACTTACTCTACATTTCAACGTTGAAAGGGAGAGGGGGTAAGGCGGAAAGGGCACTGACGCCCTCGCGCCAGCGCCACTATAGATAGCAAACGCCGAAATACGCGGCTCAATCGAGGTCGAAGGGGCACTCCTGCTTGGCATCCTCCTTGTGCCACGCCCAGAGCTGCCTCAAGACGACCCTCAGGCTGCTTTCGATCGTCTCGCCAGTGCGGGTGCCCCAACTTTTGGTCACGTACTTGGGCGGAGTCTCTCTCGGATATTCACCGCACCACCTCGTGACACGCCTGGTGTCCTTGCTCAGCTTGCAGCCCTCTGCGGGAGGGAGGAAGGTCCTCGCCGTGGCAACGTCGATGTCCTCGTCGGCGTCGGGGGCCGCGTGCACCTTCCACTGCAGCTTCTTCTTCATCGTGCCCGCAGGTGCAACTCCACCACTCCCAGCAGGCGGGCCAGGAGGCGGATCGGCAGGTGGTGGATCAGCAGTCTTGCCCTTGCCATCTCCCTTCGGCGGCGGATCAGCCCCGTTGGCAGCGCCGCTGCCGATGTCGGCATTATCTTGAATGGAAGGCGTACGACTCGCCATTGAATCCTTCTGGGCATCCTGCTTGGGGTCCTTCTCCTTGAAGTTCCTGTGGGCTTCCTTCACTGCCTTGAGGTCGTCCGTGTCCAGGCCCGTCTCGATCTGGCTCAGGTTCTCCTCGAAGTTGAGAGCGGCGAGGGATCCTTTGGCGATTTTGGCATTTTTCAGCCCCCTGATCTCCAACGCATGTTTAATGAAATCATCTGTGGCGTCCGGAACCACGTCCTTGATCAAAGCAGTGACTTGGCCAGCGACCGTGGTCGGACGTTGGCCGCGCGCAAACTGCATTCCCCGAGGTGCCATGAGCTTGCCAAGGTAAGTACCAGAGAGCTCCTTGAACCCGACCTTGGCCGCGCCCTCGATTGCCTTCACCTCGTTCTCCCCGACGATGTAGCAGCGGTAGTCGGCGGCCTGGCCGAGGGTGAACCCGTGCATGCTCACGGGGCCCCTCGCGCGCACGGGGGTGACGTAGACGTGCGTCAGATCGATGATGGGAAGCACGAGCACCATGTCGCCGAACCCATGCTCGAAGGTCGCGA